TGGGTTTGAATCGTCAGCCTTCTGGTTAGCAGTCACATGCCTTAGGCACTACTCCACCAAAAACCAATAATTTATTTTTGGTAGAAATGAATATTCATGACTCTATTCCATTCATTCATCCCAATGTTAAGTAATTTTCCTAATGCATTCCCGACTCGACGGCAAACAACAACAACAACAACAATGCATTCCCACTGGTAATTTTTCTTATTAAATATTTAAAATTCTATTACTTATTTTTGTTTGTTTTGTCTTTTTAGAATAAGCTTGACTTGATGTATAAAAAAAAGAAGAGCAAGATCCCAATTTGCTTGGACATTTAATGACATCTTCCAAGTATGTATATTATATGCAAAAACTATAGTGCTTCCAGGATCACTGTTAGTTTGATGAACTTCCTGGCTGAAACCACAAAGGCATATAAATAAGGAGAAACTCCCACCCTGTAGTTAGAAAATTGGTACTAATCTATTTTATGAATATGTCATGACTTAAATAATACAAGAAAATAAAGTTTAAAATCTTTTATTTCTAGCAAACAATTTTAATATCTATATAACAATCATCCACCACTCGTCTATCACTTTGTCCTACTGTGGTGGCCTGTGTGTTGCTGTGAGGCTGGAGGCTATGCCACCAGTATTTTAAATAACAGCAGAGTCACTCATGGTGGACAGGTTTCAGTGGAGCTTCCAGACTGAGACAGACTAGGAAGAAGGATGGAACCATCCACTTTTCAAAGAGTTGGCCAGTGAAAACTTGATGAATACCGGTGAAACACTGTCTAATATATTACCGGAAAACTTTATAAATAGTAGTGAAACATTGTCAGATATAGTGCCAGAAGATGAGCCCCTCAGGTTGGAAGGCATTCAAAATATGACTAGGGAAGAGCTGCCTCCTCAAATTAAAGTCTACCTTAATGATGTAGATGGGCTAAAGCTTTGGGGACCTTCATTTGCTGATGTGGCATGACTTAAAATGAGAAGAAACAGCTGCAAATATCCCTTGATAATGGGAATGTGAAATGTATGAAGTACGAATTTAGGAAAATTGGAAGTTGTCAAAAATGAAATGGAGCACATAAAGGTCATTATCATAGGCATTAGTGAGATGAAATGGACTAGTATTGGCCATTTTGAGTCAGAAAATGATATGGTCTACTCTGCTGGCAATAACAAACTGAAGAAGAATGGTGTCACATTCATCACCAAAAATAATGTTTCAAGATGTATCCTGAAGTACAATACTGTCAGTGATAGGATAATATCTATACACCTACACAGAAGACCAGTTAATAGTAGTATTATTCAAATTTACACATCAACCACTAAAACAAAAGATGAAGAAATTGAAAATTGTTACCAATTTCTGCAGTCTGAAATTGACCAACCATGCAATCAAGATGTATTGATGATTACTGGTAATTGGAATGCAAAAGTTGGAAACAACAAAGAATCATTGGTAGTTGGAAAATATGGCCTGGGTAATAGAAATGATGCTGGAGGTCACACGACAGAATTTTGCAAGATCAGTAACTTATTCATCACAAATACCTTTTCCCAACAACATAAATGGTCGCTACACATGTGGACTGTTTTGGCCACCCTGAGAGGACTATACCACAAATGGGTGGGCTTAAACAAACAGGAATTTATTTTCTCACAGTTTTGGAGGCTAGTAGTCCGAGTTCAAAGCACCAGGCTTTAGGGGCTGAGTGAAAGCCTCTTGATCTTGGGCTTTGGCTCTCCCTCTGGATCCTGGCCCACTGAAGCTGGAGGCTTTCTTCACTCAGGCAGCTGCTGGCTGCTGAGGCTCACAAACCCAAGGTGAACAAGTAAAAAGCACAGTCCCAATGTTCCCAAACCACATGGCAGGCCATTAATTCAAGTCCATTGAAAGCCCCAAGATTGGCAGAGCATGGCAGGTTGATGAACAATGACTCGGCTACATGCAGGATTCAAGTATGCCAAAAAGCTGGAGACCTTCCTTAAAGTTGCTTCTTATATACTGGAAGCAGACCACATCCCTAAAGCAGCTACTCAGCTGCTCCAATAGATTCCACTATGGGGTTAATTACCAGTCTCACTATGGGGAATAATTACATCCAGCTGTCCAGCCACTCAACCAGACCCAGCCATGTTGACACACAAACTTAACTACCACATGGACCTTGTCAGATAGAATAAACAGCAATCAGAAATACCACAGCTGTGGAAAGAGGCAATGGAGAAGCTCAGTATCTTCAGTCAAAACAAGGTCAGGAGCTGACTGTGGAATAGACCATCAATTGCTGATATATAAGTTCAATATGAAGCTGAAGAAAATTAAAACAAGTCCACAACAGTCAAAATATGACCTCGATTATATCCCACCTGAATTTATATGACCTGGATTATATCCTACCTGATATCAAGAAACATCATACATGAAGAAAGCAAATGGTCATTAAAAAGGCAGGAAAGGAAGAAAAGATCAATATGGATGACAGAAGAGAATCTAAAACTTGCACTTGAATGTAGAGTAGTTAAAATGTATTGTCTGTTACACGTGTATGGAAGAAATGACGAGATGAAAGAACTGAACAGACAATTCCAAAGGGCAGCTTGAAAAGATAAAGTATTATAATGAAATGTGCAAAGACTTGCAGTTAGAAAATAAAAAGGGAAGAATGCACTTGGCATTTCTCAAGCTGAAAAACTGAAGAATAAATTCAAGCTTTGAGTTGCAATACTGAAGGATTCATGGGCAAAGTACTGAATGATGCAAGAAGCATCAAAAGAAGATGTAAGGAATGCATAGAATCTCTGTACCAAAAAGAACTGGTCAATGTTCAACTATTTCAGGAGGTAGCACATAACCAAGGACCAATTGTTTTGGAGGAAGAAGTCCAAGCTGCACTGAAGGAACTGGCAAAAACAAGTCTCCAGGAATTGACAGAATACTCACTGAATGTTTCAACAAATGGATGTAATGCTGGAGGTGTTTACTCATTTATGCCAAGAAATTTGGAAGACAGCTACTTGGCCAACTGACTGGAAGAGATCGATATTTGTGCCCATTCCTAAAAAAGTGATTAAACAGAATGAGAAAATTATCAAACAATAAATATTATTAATATCACATGCAAGAAAAATTCTGCTGATGGTAATGCAAAAATGGTTGCAGCAGTATATTGATAGGGAACTGCCAGAAATTCAAGCTGGGTTCAGAAGAGGACATGGAATGAGGGATATCACTGCTAATGTCATATGGATCTTGGCTGAAAGCAAAGAATACCAGAAACATGTTTACCTGTGTTTCATTGACTATACAAAGGCATTTGACTGTGTGGGTCATAACAAATTATGGATAACATTGTGCAGAATGGGAATTCCATAACACTTAATCGTGTTCATAAGGAACCTGCACATAGACCAAGAGGCCATCACTCAAGCAGAACAAGGATACTTCATGGTTTTAAATCAGGAAAGGTGTGCATCAGGGTTGTATCCTTTCACCATACTTATTCAATCTCATTGCTGAGCAAATAATTGGATGAGCTGGACTATAGGAAGAAGAATGTGGCATCAGGACTAGGGGAACACTCATCAACAATCTGCGATGTACAGATGCACAATCTTGCTTGCTGAAAGTAAAGATGACTTAAGCATTTACTGATGAAGATCAAAGATTACAGTCTGCAGTATGGATTACACCTCAACCTAAAAAAACAAAAATCCTTGCAACGGGATCCATAAGCAACATCATGGTAAGTGGAAAAAGATTGAAATTGTCAGGGATTTCATTTTACTTGGATCCAGAATCAATGCCCATGGAAGTAGCAGTCAAGAAATCAGACATTGTATTGGATGCGGCAAATCTGCTGCTGCTGCAAATGACCTCTTTCAAGTGTTAGGAAGCAAAGATGTCACTTTGAACACTAAGGTGCTCCTAACCCAAGCCATAGTATTTTCAGTCACCTCATATGCATGTGAAAGCTGGACAATAAATAAGGAAGACTGAAAAAGAGTTGATGCCTTTGAATTGTAGTGTTGGCAAAGAATACTGAAAATACTATGGACTGCCAGAATAATGGACAAATCTATTTGGGAAGAAGTATAGCCAGAACGCATCTTGGAAGTGAGAAATGCCAGACTTTGTCTCACCTACTTTGGTCATGTTGTCAGAAGGGATTATTCCCTGGGGAAGGATATCATGCTTGGCAAAGTAGAGGGTCTGCAGAAAAGGGGAAGACCCTCAACAAGATGGATTGACACAGTGGCAGTGACAGTGGGTTCAAGTATAGCAAGGATTGTGAAGATGGTGCATGACCAGGCAGTGTTTCATTCTGTTGTACACAGGGTCACTATGAGTTGGAGCCAACTCGATGGCACCTAACAACAATAACAACAACACATATTAATCATATTAACATTTTTGTTCCTCACCAGGCAAGCCTAAGCAGCTCTGGGTGTGTAGTGATTAAGGCCTTTAGCTGTTAATCAAAAGGTTGTGGTTAAAACCCACCAGCTACTCTGCGTAACAAAGATGGGGCAGTCTGCTTCCATAAAAATTTATAGCCTTGGAAACCCAATAGGGGTTGCTAGTTGCTATGGGTCAGAATCGACTTGATGACAGTGAGTTAAATCTAGCTTATGCTTTATTTTCAGTCATTCTTTCCTCAGTGTTTAAAAAATACCACAGAGATTTTGCTGAGATTTTCATGGCAATTTTCGTTTTTCTCACCTTCCTGCTTGAATACTGACAATAGGATCTTATATATGGGCTCAGCATAGCTGTCCCTACAGAAATCCCCACAAAACCGTCCCTGCTTAAGAATTAACTAGATCTAGCAATATTTCTTGGATAAAAATATGTCATAAATTCACTGAAGACATTATTGTATTTTCAATTTTTTGGAAAAGACCTGTGTGTATCTCTGGAGTAGCAAGGAATAATAGCTTAGGCATTATGTTGGCTGTTTCTACTAAATTTCCAATAGCACCTTTGGATCTCACCTGACCATCCAGGGAGGCAGCGACAATGGCCCGTGGTGGGGTGGCAGCCATCGGCATGGCTGCAGTCACAGCGCTCAGCACAATTCAGCCCATATGTGCCATCCTGCATTGAAGACAGCATTGAAGACAGGAATGAGGGCACAGGAAATCCAATGATGGGAGACAAGGGGTCCTTGTTAGACCTATCTCAGAAACAGTACCCTGCTCTCACAGAGCCTGTTGCAGGACAATGAAGTATAATCACCTCTTCCCATAATCCTGTATCTTCTTCTTCTTTTTTGAACACATACACATATTGTTTTGTGACACTAGTTATATTCCCCACAGTGCATAGCTCTACTCCCACTTCTTCCCTGTGGTTACCCTTTCCCTGTGTCATTTTTCACTATGCATGCCTGTCTAACTACCTTTCCAACTATGCAAATACTGCCATTTTGATTGCCCATGATTGATTTTTTTTTTTTTTTTTAAGGAGCATGTCTCCCTGGTGTTAAGTTTCCAGCTTGTATGCCCATCTATTGTTTGGCTGAGAGTTAAGCCACAGGAGTGAGTTTAATTCCAGGCCTGAAGGGTGACTCGGGGTCATAGTCTCAAGTACTTCACCAGCCTCTTATCAGACTAGAAAGCCTGTTTGTTTTTGTTTTTTTCCTTTTTGATTATGAGTTTTGTTCCACATTTTTCTCCCACTCTTTCTAGGATCTTTAATTTTGATCCCTGCTCTAGTGGCTGGCATTGATAGCCAGGCACCATCTAGTTCTTCTAATCTCTGGATCATATAGACTGAGGTTAGTCTGTTAATCCTTTGGACTGTTTCCCTGTGTCTTTGATTTTCCTCACTCTACTTTGCTCCTGATAAGGAGAGACCAGTAGTTGTGTCTTACATGGCCTCTCCCAAGTTTTCAAGACCCAAGTCGCTACTCATGGAAGATGCAGAACAGTACTTGTGTATACTATATCTCCCCATATCTTCTTATGCCCCAAACTATAGTTTCTAGGTGGTCAATGCTTTAAAATTACTCATACCTTACCTTATGCCTAACAAAATGTATGATCGGTGAAACAAATAGCTTATCCTAGCACTTTCCTATTCTAGTTAATGAAAAGAACATTTTGTTATCTTCTTGCAGGCCCCACCTGATATCTATTGTTTCCTTTTGCTCCTAAAGAATTTACAAAACAATTCAGGGTACCCTAAAATACAATATATTCATACTCTTTAGTGGAAAGGGAAGTCATAACCCTGATAATGAATCTGTAAAATTAAATATATCTCTCTATATATACCTTTAATTAAACTAAGTTGATTTCTTTAAATTGTCTATGGGATACATGGAACTACAAAGGAAAATGAAAATCTTTTGTTAATTTTTTCCTATTTAGCATTCTCTTTTTCATAGAGATGGAAGGAAGATTGGGCTATCTACTTCTGTAGAAATACTGCCTCAGAAATCCAAGGAGGGGTCACTATGAGTCAGATGTGACTCGATAGCAGTTAGGTTTTTTATTTTTCCCCTAGAGAAGGAGGGGTCGTTATGAGTCGGGGCTGACTCGATGGCAAATAACAACAACAAAAACAGAGAAGTCTAAACAATGTGAGCTATTCTGACTTCTGTGAGGGGATGGGTATGTTTTGGCACAGTCTCCTCATTCTTCCCCTCCCCAGGACCTTCTATTGTCACATGCACATCAGATTGGGTGGAACTGACACTCCTCATGGACATGATAACTTAGTTTGTGGAAGGGCACTACATACACACTGCCCAAGGACTAAAAGAAACGTGTATCTACCAAGAGGGAGAAATAGGAAACAAGCATAAGACAGGCTGTGAGTGCTAAAAGGCAACACTCACTTGCTAGAAATTATTGAAATTAAAAAAAAAAATTAAACCGTATTTTGGATCTCACTAATGTTTGATTAAAAGCGAGGATGTTGTTGTTATTATTGTTAGGCTCAGTCCAGTCATCTCTGCCTTATAGCAACCCCATGTAGAGCAGAATGAAACACCGTCTGGTCCTGTGCCATCTCCATGATCTTTGCTATATCTGAGCCCATTTTGTAGCCACTGTGTCAATCCATCTTGTAGAGGGCCTTCCCCTTTTTCACTGACCCTCCACTTTACCAAGCATGACATCCTTCTCCAGGGAATGGTCTCTTCTGACAACATGACCAAAGTAGATGAGACCAAGTCTGGCCATTCTCGCTTCCAAGGAGCATTCTGGCTGCATTTCTTCCAGGACAGATTTGTTAGTTCTTTTAGCAGTCCATGGTTACTGAAAGCATCAACTCTTCTTTGGTCTTCCGTATTCATTGTCCAGCTCTCACACACATATGAGGCAATTGAAAATACCATGGATTGTGCCAGGTGGACCTTAGTCTTCAAGGAGGTATTTTTACTCTTCAGCACTTGAAAGAGGTCTTTTGCAGCACGTTTACCCAGTGCTATACATTGTCTGATTTCTTGACTGCTAATTCCATTGGTGTTGATTGTAGAACCTAGTAATATGAAGTCTTTGACAACTTCAAACTTTTCTCCATTTATTGTGATGCTGCTTATTGATCCTGCTGTGAGGATTTTTGTAATCCATACTACAGACTGTAGTCTTCAATCTTCATCAGTAAGTGCTACAAGTCATCCTCACTTTCAGCAAGCAAAATTGTGTTGTCTGCATATTGCAGATAGTTAATGAGTCTTCCTCCAATCCTGATGCCATGTTCTTCTTCATATAGTCCAGCTTATCAGATTATTTGCTCAGCATACAGAATGAGTAAGTATGGGGAAAGGATATATCCCTGATGCATTCCCTTCTTGATTTTAAGCCATGTTGTATCCCCTTGATCTGTTCAAACGATAGCCTCCTGGTCTATGTATAAGTTTCTCATAAGTGCAATTAAGTATTCTGGAATTCCCATTCTTCTTAATGTTATCAATTTGTTATGATCCACACAATTGAAAACTTTTGCATAGTCAATAAAACACAAGGAAACATCTTTCTGGGACTTCCAATAAGATGGAGGAATACGCAGACAAGCGACACAGACCCTCTTCAACAAAGGAAAGAAAAGCCCATTGACAGAGATACAGAAGATAATCCTGGAGCCCTGAGCTTTGAAAGGAACTATACAGAAGTGGATTAGACACCAACTAGTGGAAAAACCTGAATGAAAAGAGTGAGTACAGAGATGGTCGGAGCTGCAGATTGTCAGCTACTCTGACAGGACCAACAGCCTGAATATTTCCAAGTGGTGTTGGGACCTGAGAATTGACCTAAAGATCAGCCCTGGTAACCAAGGGCTGCAGGGATGACTGTGCTGGTGGCCTATGACTAGGAAGGGAAACAGCAAGGAGGGAGACAACCTGAGCTGTGGACTTATCTGTTGTCTGGAGGGCTCAGCCATTTTGATTGTTCACACGTGGCAGCCATTTTGGATATTTAAAGTGACTGAGGGTGCATCCATTTCAAATGTTTATAAGTGGCAGCCATTTTGGATATTAAAAGTGACCAAGGGCACAGCCATTTTGAATTTTTGCAAGTGGCAACCATTTTGGATTTTAAAGTGATACCATTCTCATTCTCAGACCTAAGAATAGGCTCTGTTTGCCAAGGTCAGCAGGGACATATGAGAGGCTGACAACAGGAAAAGAGATAGGTGGTGAGTGTATAAGTGCTGTCAACTAGAGAACAGAGGAGCACAGTACCCTGCTTGTGTAGATAACATACAAACAAAACAAAGAAAATGAAAATCGTGGGCAAATCACTCCAACATACAATCACCAATTAAATATAAACACAAAATGTTACAATGCCTTGGAGACAACAGAGCATCATGGTCCACACAAAGAAGCAAGATAAAGCAGTAGAAACAAGGGACCAGGATACAGACCCAAAACACATCCCTGAGGAAGACACAGCATTGGAACTCTCTGGTAAGGAATTTAACAGAATTATATTTTGGTATCTTCAACAAATTGAGATGCAGATCAAGGAAAACACAGAGAAAACCCTAGAACAATTTTAAAAGACAATACAAGAACAAAATTACAAAATAATGAAAAATTAGAAATGATATCAAATCTACACATAGAAATCCAGAAGATTAATACCAAATTTTCAGAAATAGATAAGATGAGCAAAGGAGCAGAATTGAATCAATGGAAGGCAGAATTAGGGAGACTGAAGGTAAATATCTGAAGACTTCTTCGGAAAGGGATAAATCAGAAAAAAGAACAAAACAAAATGAAGAAAGCCTAAGGTTCCTGTGAGATACCATCAAAAGGAATAACCTATGTGTAATCAGAATTCCAGAACAGGAAGAGACAAATAAAACCACAGAGAATATTGTCAAAGATTTGTTGGAAGAGAATTTTCCTGGTATGGTAAAAGATGAGAATATATCCAGGCAGGAAGTCCAGGGAACCCCAAACAGGATAGGCCCCAAAAGAAAATCACCCAGACATACTATCATCAAACTCATCAAAACCAAAGACAAAGAAAGAATTACAAGAGCAGCATGGGAAAGATGAAAAGTTACCTACAAGGGAAAACTAATAAGACTAAGCTTAGATTTCTCAACAGAAACCATGCAGGCGAGAAGGCAATGGGTTGGTAAATATAAAACAATGAAAGAGAAAAGTTTCCCACCAAGAATTATGTATCTAACAAGATTATCCCTCAAATACGATGGTGAAATTAGGACATTTCCAGATAAGCAGAAATTAAGAGGATTTTTTAAAACCAGACTAACTTTACAAGAGATGTTAAAGGGAGTCCTTTGGGCAGAGAAGCGACAATAGCCAACAACAACTGACCATTAACACACATGATGATATAACCCAGAAACCA